AGTTACTTAGTTACTAGTAAATAGTAACTACATAGTTACTTAGTTACCAGTAACTAAGTAACTACATATTTACTTAGTTACTAGTAACTAGTAACTACATATTTACTTAGTTACTGGTAACTAAGTAACTACATAGTTACTTAGTTACTAGTAACTAGTAACTACCCATGTAAAAAAAAGTAGGCAAAAACCAACTATTTAGTACCTTCAAAAGTAGATTTTAAATAAGAAAAAGTACTTGTAATTGAACCTTTTTAAATACTTTTCATACTTTTTGACCAAAAAATACTATTGAAAGTGTGAAAAAGTGATAGAATTCACTTAGAAAAGTGAAAAAAAGTAATAACACTTAATTTATTTTTTTGTATTGATAATAGAAGTACTCAAAAGTATTTTCTTAAATAAAATATACTATAAAATACTATTAATATTAGTACAGAAAAATAAACTCATTTTTATTACTTTTTTTTACTTTTCTAAGTGACTTCTATCACTTTTTCACACTTCCAATAGTACTTTTTAGTCAAAAAGTATGAAAAGTACTAAAAAAGGTTCACTTACAAATACTTTTTCCTGTTTAAAATCTGCTTTTGAAAGTACTTAATAGTTGGCTTTTGCCTACTTTTTTTTACATGGGTACTAACTACTATAGCTACTTAGTTAGTAGTAACTATTAACTGCTATAGTTACTTTTCTCAAGTAACTACTCGAGTTACTTAGTTACTAGTAACTACTTCAATATTACTTTTTAGTAAGTAAATGAATATGGCATTTATGTATTCATTGATTTTAGTTTCACCCGTCTGATAGTGTTCATATAATAATTAATGAAGTGACTTTAACGATAAATAAAAAGAGGGATAAGATGACAGACTAGAGGAGTAGCTTACTGCCACCCTCGGTAATGATGTTTACTAGCTACTTTACATCTCTAGAATGTGTCTATTGCACATTCAACACACGCTTATACATGATAGAGAAACGAAGAGTGAGACGTCACTGAGAGAACAATAGAGAGAGAAAGAAGAAAGAGGAAGAGCGGCGAGCCGTGACGCATATATCGGCACAGTGACGTACGTTGAATTCCATCAATGTACACTGAAAAAAGGGTACACTACTGAACCTTCGAAGTCCCGTAGAATTTCACCAAATCTGGTTTGGTATCATGCAACTTTACAGAACTTTCAAGAGGTTTCGGAATGAACTAAGTTTCATGAAAACCTTAAAAGAGTATTTTCCTTGTCAAGGGTTTCGTATATAGTATTCACTAAACGTAAATTGGTCAAGAGTTTTCGTGAAAAACTTTAAAAAGTTCATCGGTGGGCCACCATGATGAAAAGGTATGACGGCTGCCATACCAAAAATTTTTATTCCTTATACACTTTCCTGTGCGTCCGTTCTCTTTGATCCAACCTTTAATCGAGAGCCTGGAAAGAGAAAAACTAAGTCCAGAAGTGACTTTTGCTCTTCCATAGAAGCATCTTCAGATACGGTCGATTTACCTATTTTTTTCTAGAGCTGATATGAATATTGATTATTTATTTGTCCATTTTTGGTTTTTATGGAATTTAAAAGCGTCTGTGAGATAGTTTTTAATTAAGAAAAGAAAGATTAGGTAAAGCCTTATGTTTTCAAGCATATTTGATTCATACTCTATTTTTTGAATATTATGCTTTCCTATTGGTTTCAAAATCAGAAAGAACAAGGTCCATTCAGATTCCATTGGCGGGTCCCCAGCATGGTAGGGTGTGGCAGCTGCCATGGCAAAAATATTCAAAATGAACGATAGTTTGACAAAAATTGATCCCTAACACGATTTTTCCCAGCTATTATCACACCAAATATTTTGCTGCTGGTTCGCCAATGAAAAAGTTGTTACCATCGGTAAGGTTTCGCGAAACATCAATAGTAATCATATAATGGCCAAGACGTTTCTCATGAAATCCAACTTCTTTCTTCGATCAACTATAGTCGGAGGACATGTTCAGCAACAGTATCTTCGACGTACCACACTTCACTCCTCAACCCACTCATTTACAGTATCACGAAAATCGTGCACCAAAATCAAAGGACACCGTTCAACTTTCGTATTTCTTAGTACAAAACTTTAGTGTTATGCTTTCGAACGAAATTTTATGCACAGATGAAACAGATTATACAACGCAGCAAGGTACTAAAAACAGTAAAAGACAGCTTGAAGATACAAACAAGACTTCACATTAAGGAGTAACACATTTACCATGAATATACAGTTTCAAGTTTATTTGTAAAGTATGAAGAATCAAGGTCAGCAGTTAGACAGTAAAATACGAGATTCAGGATTGCTTTAAGGAGTACAATATAGATATGCAGTATTAATAATGGTCATAAAAAATAAAACATAACGAGGTGCTTTAGGATAAATAAAATAGTTTAGATTCTTAAATAACGGGTTGTGCACACAATTATTGCTCTGTACACAAAAACAAGCGTTGAGGAGATATGTAAAGATTTGGATTTTTCAATAAGCTGTTCAATGTAATAATAAGGGCTTAGAGACGTAGATATTTTGGCCTACGCATGATCTGAAGGAATAATATACATATATGAAACTTTCAATACTGAAATAATAATTTTGATATAAAAAGCAGTGGTGAACGATTGATTTAGCAATTTAAAGTCAGCAGTGAAGATTAAGTATGGATTTAAAGGTGCAGATTTAGACATTTAAGGAGAGATTTTCGGATTTAGATTCAATATTAGGGATGAACAATCGATTTGAGGATATAGATTTAGCAACGAGGAGAGCAAAACAATTCAGGAAAAGGCTGCTACGGAAGGATTAAGAGAATTAGGTTTAGGAGTAAGGGTTAAGAATACATAAATGGAAGGGAATAAATTCAGAAAACGAAGGTTCAAAAATGAGTAAGGGAGTTAAATCTACAGG